CCAAGCCTGCGGAGCACAGCGTCTTACAGTGCCACTCCCACGACTGGGTGTTACAGCAATGTTTAAAGAGAAATGCATCCTTTCCTCACAATGCAGATCAGGATCCACACGTGCCTGGTTTATTTCTGAGCCGCCCTCCTTTCTGTGGTCTGCTTGTCTACCCTGAGCAACACCACATTTTCTCAATCATGACAGTGTTATACGAAGTCTTGACACCTCACAGGAAAAATATCCTCACCTTGTTTTTCTTCTTCAGGAGTTTCCCAGCTTTCTTGGACTTTTTCAGTTCCATGTAAACACAACTCTTTTGCCAAATTGAACGATGTAAACTATAATGTGTTTATTGTGGTTGCATTGAATCTATAGACGAATTTGGGGAAAATGTATATATGTGTAGTATTTAATTTTTCAGTTCATAAACTTGTTACAATTCTTCATTTATACCTTCTTTGAGGTCTCTTAATAAAGGTTTATAATTTTCTCTATTACATTTTTTTGGTTGGATTTTTTCCCTAGGTATGCCAGTATTTTGATACTATTGTGAATGGCATCTTTCTTATTTTCCAATTCTTTTGGTACTAGTGTATAGAATGCTATTGATTTTTATATCCACAAAACTTATTAATCTCACTTATTAACTCTAGTAATAATATATGTTAAATGTTCAATTTTATTTTATGTAAGCATATTACTTGATAATAACAACAGTTTTGTTTTTTCCTTTCTAGTCCTTACACAGCTAATTTCTTTGTTTCCTTACTTTATTGTTTAGGACTGATACTACAATGGCTAATAAAGATGGTAAAAATAAAACAAAACAAAAACACTGCACAGTATTCATAGTTACCCATCCAATAAACTAAATTTGGCCCTCATTCTATAGGGTAAGGTTAGTTAGAAATCTTAAAATCCTGGGGCTAGCAGATGGTATAATGGACTCCCACGTAGTCAACCATAGTTTGAGTCCCGGTTAAAACTTATGCGGGGGGTGGGGGGGACCAGCAGGTGGTATGGGGGTGAAGGTGCCTGGCCCGCCCTCGTGGCAGGTGGTATGGTGGTTAAGGTGCTGGACACTCCTGCATGGCCGACCATGGTTCAAGTCCCAGACCTGGCGGCTTCCTTTCTCCCTTTCCGCCTCTCTCTCTCGCTCTGTGTCTCTCTCTGGTCAAATTAAAATAAATGAATGAATAAATAAAATTAAATAAATAATAATTAAAATAAAAAACTTATGCCGGGCACAGATGCATGAGTGACCAAAATCTTGAGAAGAGAATGGAGGAGAAGGGATTGTGGCATGGCCATCTTCCCCGAGGGTGCCTCTTCTGACCAGCAGAGAGTCACCTGAAGTATGCATGGGTCAAGACACAGAGCTCTGAGTCAAGAGGGAATGGGAAAGGCCATACCAGGTGGCCACCTGCTATACCTCTCGTCCTCCACATTTATTAGGGCAAAGGAGGAAGGAAAGTTATTTTTAGAGAAAGTTGGTTTTTAGAGAATTAGATAAATAGGGGGATTTCTCAGAACAGGTTGGTTTTGATATTGACTGTATGGGAGGTAAGATTAAACAATGCCAGAGGCTAGAAAGAACACCTTAGAATCTGGAAAAATATATTTATCAGATCATACACCTGTTTAATGGCCTCCTTGAGTCTTGGTGCCCAGTGCGAGCAAAGTCAAGTAAGTAGCACTCTCTGGGGAAGCTGTTATAGCCCTGTTATTTCTCCAGGTGTGGCACGTGTTAATTGCAGCACAGCAACTATGGTTAGAAGGCAAATTTTTAAGTTCTTATTTGCTAATTAGCTATAATAAAGTCAGGTCATGTGTACTCTCCCACCTCGAGTTGTGCCATGGATGTAGAATTCATAAGGAAGACAGAGATGTAAAGCATTTTTCAATCCACTTGGTGATGGAGCGAGAGTAGGACTTCAGTCCTGGGCTGTCATCCTTTGGTTATCGGGCACTCGCTCAGGACCACATGCACATCCACCATAAAATGCAACAAGCCTCTTCCCACCCATGGTTAATGAACCATGTTCACATGGTTAGGCGTCTTCCCACCCATGGTTAATGAACCATGTTCATGTTAATAGGCATGTATAGACAACACCTAGCGACAATCTCCCCTATTCTACACTGAGTCCAAAATCAGGTGGGAACTGGTCCTTGAGGTTGAGAATCTGAGTTAAGGAGGAGAAATGTAAAGTTTCATGTCATTGTTTGAATGCTTTCACTTTGAGCTGATCTCTAGGATTTCAGTCAATTCCTGAGAATCCAGCGTATTTTTAGGAAACTCATTTTTGTCTCAAATGTGCAACATATGTGAGGTTTGGAGATTAATAACAAAGTTTAGCTCATAATCTGTCCTGGCAGAGTTCCTAAACTTCAGAGAAAGGTTCCATAGCCATGAGGACTGGTGCCATAGTGCCATCAGGATCATGTGTCATTCATTCATTGAATTGATAGTGAGCATCTACTATGTACCAGGCTCTACCTGGGCACAGGTGATATGGCAGTGAACAACAAAACAAACAAACAAGCAAAGATCTACCCACTACTACCCACTGACATTGGAAAAATTCTACAGGCTTTATTGCCACTTGAAAAAAAATAAAATAAAGTGATGTAAGCTCACATATTAGAAAAAATAAGCTCCATGTGGTGGTAAAGAAACAACCTGCAGCATCCCACCGTCTGGCTTATTGCACCAGCTCTATCCATTATCTTTGTTGGCCATAAGCAAGTTTCCTAGTGTTCTTAAGTCTCAGGTCCTCACTGAGTATTTTGATGACGGATCTTCCTCACAGGCTTGTTATGAGGGTTTGAGAGAGCAACAGTGTGAGACACAAAAGCTGAGCAGTATGTGTTAGTCATTCTTAATGGCAAGAGTAGTTATAATACAAAAGGAATGCTTTAATTCTAGAAAGATCCCTTGGAAAAATAAATATTCAAGTGCTAATGTACTTGAGAGAATCCAGATATAGACAGAAACTTAAAGTGTTGTTTATCATTACCTGAAAATTAATTAGAAGATGAAATTTTTCTGAAAGTATAACGTAAGGCAATAGGGTATGATTTGGTTCAAGATTTTCAGTAGTAAATTGCATTAAGTGAGGTAAAACTGTACTGTAAGTGCTATGTGTTTAGTATTTTTTAAATTGCATTTGGTGTAATACTTGATTGTGGAAATGCAGAATGATACCTCGGAAGATGCATTTCGTTGAGTAACATTTACTATTAAATGTCTATACACCGAGTTTCTAAGCAGACATTATGAAATAGCACAATTCAACAAGAAAAGTCGTCAAGTTTATGTCTGATGAGAATGCTGGGGCAGTATTCTGTCATCTGAGATGAAAATGATCTACATTGATCAACATACACCCACAAAGAACATCATCACCAACACAACAGTGTCTGCTGGTGAGGCCGTGCATCCTATTTGTACATTTCCACCGCTTCTCCCTTCTTCCTGATCTCCTCTATCAATTAGGTGGTAGTTATTTTTGGAGGATGCCTATTTTATCAAAGGTAGAAGATTTGTTTTCTAGTCAACAGAAGCTTTTAAACGGTAATTTAACTGTCAATGAAGAATAAATAAAAGGTGTTACAAATCCTGTAAGAGCTAAGCAATTCATGGAAGCTCTGTTGTTATTGAATGTATCTCTCTCTCAGTTGCCTGGGGAACTGCATTTTAATGTCATACATCAAGCAGTTCTTTCCTGAATGTAATTGTGGTTTTTCTGATACCATGGTTAAAGCTGTTCAAATGTTTGGCCTCTGGCAAATATTTCCTAACACTCTTCATGACAGTGATGGATCTGAAGCAATTTTAATACATTTTTAAATCCCACTAACTTGTTAAATAACTGAAGGAACAAAATACTATTAAATTGAGTATATCTTTATTACCAGAAGAATTATCTAGGAATGTGGTGTCTTCAAGACAGTGATTTGGTTCTTTGCGGAATGACATCTTTTTTTTTAAAAAAAACTATTCTTTATTGTTTGTTTAATTTTTTAATGATAAAACAATTTATACACAATTCATTTACAATGAAACACTTTTTCATATTAACTGAATCATCTTATCTGCTATATCCTATTGTAAGAAGTGAACTGGTCCAACTCCACTTTCTGAATGGAACAGTTTTGATTCTCTGGGGAAGTGCTGAGTGGGGTTTGGTTTCTTGGTGTTTCTTTCCATGATGCAAGGATTAAAAAAACAATCCCTGGAAGTCAGCAATTGGAACCAGACCTCCCCAGGACCGAGGAGAGGCAGGAGCAGGGAAAGGGACACTAGACACTAGGCCCAGCAGACTCAGCCATTGTGCCATACACTTGACTTCAGAGCATTCAGGCACTCAAGGTCCAGTCTGGAGCCATAAATAGCCTGTCCCATTTCAAATGGTCACAACTGCTATACTTAGCAGAATATGGGAGGGGCTGGGGGGCACACAGTGGAGGAATCAGTCCCAACAATTGAACAAATATTTCTAAATTTTCTTTTTTTTTGGAGAGATTTTCACTGTAGGGCGCGTGCGCTTGCCAGACAGACAGAGAGAGACGGAGAGACAGAAAGCGAGAAATCACCCCCCAGGGGGGATGGTCACGCCGCAATCCCTTCTCCTCCATTCTCCTCTCGGGATCTTGGGCACGCATGCACACGCGCCCAGCGTGAGTTTTAAGCCACCGGGTCCGGGTCACGAACCGCGGTCGACTACGTGGGAGTCCAGCAACATAGCCATTACGCTAACTGCTGGTTCCCATATTTCTAAATTTTCAATGGCAAGGAGCTCATTTCTAAAATACAAGCCTATGGCTGGCAGCTGGAGAGCTAGCCATTAAGTACAACATGTGTGCAATGTCATTAGGGAATTGCTGTGCTTACAAGGCCACATACGGCTTATTTATCTCAAATTCTAAAATAATTTATTCCCTTGTTGGGTATACAAGTAAGTGAGCAGTGGAGAAAGTGGTGCGTCTGCAACACCCACTGGTGCTCAGGAGTTCAACGCTTCCGAAAGGTGTGGGCTCGAGAACTTTATCAGGCACCAGAGGGGTTCTTTCCTCTCAGCCAAGATGCTCCCATTTAAGTCACTTTTGAGCTTCGTTTCAAGCTTACATTGTGCAAATTCTAGTCGTGTTTGAGGGTAGTCTCCAAAAGTTTCTTGAGTTACTCTCTGGACTCTGTTTTCTTCTACTGCGTTTTCCTGAATGAGCCTTCGATCTGTATTTATATCTAATCCAAGGCTTCTTTCCTGTAAAGGTGTTGTGGAGTTGTGAATTTCAAAGGTCTGGTTATACTATTTTAAAACAATAGCCTTCAGAGTCCAGATAGTGGCTCAGGTCCATTTTCACAATCCGACAGTGTTTCCCAGCAGTTATCAGTGCCTGACTCAGAAGGGGTATATTGCTCCTCAGCCGGGAGGAAGAAGCAAAAGCATACAGAGTCTGGGAGTAATACACCATGTAAGTCAGTTTGTACCGATTTGGCTTCCTAGACTGTGTTCCCCAGGCAATTCGGATCCAGACTGCCTTCTCCTCCGTGTCTCTGAAGCTGACCAGCACATTTTTCAGTGCTCGCTGAAGAATTTTCTTAAACGAACCTTTGAAATGTTCCATATCAAAAAGGTCAACATCTTCACCTGGTTCTTTACTCATCTGAAAAACATCCCAAACTTTCTGATGCTGATGAACTTGAATATAAATGATGTCTAAAAGGGCTGCATCATTGAGACTCGCGTGCTTTTCCTCACACAGCAGAATCAAGTGCCGAACCAAAGATTCCTTTCTCTGCCTAAAGTTTATGGTCTGCAGTTCATTCTCAGGCAAAAAGTTCCAGGCTTTTAGGATTGTCGTCATTTCGGTCATGTGGATTTTCAAGATGGTCCTCCTGATAAACTCAGCAATAGTCTTTTTGGCAGTCATCCTCAACTGTGGTCCCCTGAGCCCAGGCCAGGACCAGTGGCCAATCTGGAGCCTTGAGATGTGCAGCAGCCGTGAAAAAGTAGCTGCAGAGGCTTGGGGTCTGGCTTCCTCAAGACTCCCATCCACCTCCTGGGCCCGATCCTGTACCGCTGGGGGCTCTCTTACCGCCCCACATCTCCAGCCATCGCACTCCACGGCAGCAATTCCCACCCGTTCTATCTGTTTAATTTTTAAATTTATTTTTATTTTTAATTTGACCAGAGAGAGAGAGAAAGTGAGAGAGCAAACCACCAGGTCCGGAACTCAAACTGTGGTCAACCATGTGGAAGTCCAGTACCTCAACAACTGCATCACAGAATAGCATCTTCGATGTCAGCCACTATGTCTATCAAGGGATGCCATTTAGCAGATAAAGCCCTGCACAGAGTGGGTGACTGGTTTCTGGCAGTCATCTCTACATGTCTAACCCGATATCCTCTCCTCTCGTCCTTTACTAAAAGGTGTCCAACTTAGTTTAGAGAGGCAGTGCTGGGCTTTGGCCCCATTTACCACATTTTCCAAGATTCCTGTAGCTATAATAGCCGCATGACATAGTTTTGTTCTATGAGTTATCAACAGAAGTTGCTGGATGGCACTTCTGGGAAAGGCATTTAAACATAGACAGATAGAGCTCAGCTGATAGGTCTCTGTGTGCCCTTCACGCTCCTTTTTTTTTTTTTTCTTTTGGTCAGGAGTGCAGAGGCCATGCTAGAAGTGGATTGGCCTCATGCCCAGGAAACTGAGCAAAAAGAAAGATTCTGGTGACATAATGAAGTCTCCATTCCAGCACAGAAGAAGTCCCATTCAGCCTCTGACCAGAGCTGACTACGCCCTCTATCTATCAATGAGTCGTGGGGGAGATGAGAAAGGCTTCAATGGAATTAAAGAAAGGACTAAATCGTGGCCAGCTCTGTGGCACAGTGATAATGCACTGCTTAAGTAAAATCAAATCCCATGGGGCCAGCAGATGGCATGGTGGTTTGGGGCACTGGATTCCCACATGGTTGGCTGTGGTTCAAGTCCCGGACCTGACAGCTTGCTTTCTCACTTTCCTCTCTCTCTCTCTCTCTCTCTCTCACTCTCTCCCTCTCTGGTCAAATTAAAATAAATAAATAAAGCTAAATAAAATAATTCTTTAAAAAAAAAAAAGAAAAGTCAAGTCTCTTATGCCAATTGCAGTTCAAATCCCTGGCCTGGTCAGCCTAAAATGCACCAGGCAAATGCCCAAGATCTAACAGGCTAAATTGCAGTATGACCAGACCCATGGGGGTGCTTGCCCCACCACACCCTCTCCCACTCCCACATACATGGTCTATCATGAATGAAGAAAGGGCTCAATCCCAGCTGTGGCAGTAAGTCTTGGGTCTTGGGAAATAGCATCACATGGATCTGTGTATTTACAAAGTGGAGAATTTTAAAAAGGAAAATTGTGTAAACTTTCCTTTTCAAGGCTACCTCATTTTCATTCTCTTAACTTTTGGTTTTACTTGACCTATTTTTTTCCTCCTTTCTTTTTTTTTTTTTTTTTTTTTAATTTGCTAGAGAGTGTGTGCACTTACTGGAGAGACAGAGAAAGAAAGAAAGGGAAGTGAGAAAGCACACCTCCGCATGGGAAATGGTCATATCCCAATCCCTTCGCCTCTATTTCTCTATCCTTTCCGGTTTGGGGCACACATGCCCGGCATGGATTTTAAACCACAGGGTCTGGAATTGAACTGCACAGGCAGCTATATGAGATCTAGCCCCCTTAACCACCAGACCACGAGCTGCCTCTTTTGGTTTCTTTCTACGACTGCCAAAATCAGCTCCTTTCACTTTTATTTTATATATAAAAAACATACTTCCAAACTGGTGTGCTCATATATATATATATATATATATATATATATATGCACATAGACAAAAATCTTCTCATTGAAATCTACACAGAACTGTATAGAAATAGGCAGCTGTGAATTTTGTGAATGGATTTCGGAGACACAGTTTAACTGGAAGATTAATAAGGATGTTAGCATAAAAGAAGTATGTGTTTAAATCAAGTATTCTGAGGGGCCAGCAGGTGGCCTCATGGTTAAGGTGCCAGACTCCCATATGGTTGACTGCGGTTCAAGTCCCAAACCTGGCAGTCATATGTGTGTTGTGATGGGAAAAAAAAATTTTTATAATAAAGTATTAAAAAAAATAATAATTCTTAAAAAAAAAAGGAAAATCTTGGGACCAGCAGTTAGCGTCATGGCTATGTCGCTGGACTCCCATGTGG